GGGAGCATTTAAGTTAGGTGCATAAATGTTTAAAATTGAGATGTCTTGTATTTTTCCTTTGACCAGTATGAAGTGTTCATCTTTGTCTTTCTTAACTAATATTGCTTTGAATCCACTTGTATCTGAGAATAAGATTGCAACCCCTCCTTTCTTCTAATTTCCATTTGCTTGAAACACTGTTTTCCATCCCTTAACATTGAGTTTTGATTTGTCCTTCAGGGCTGGGTATGTCTCCTGGAGACAGCATATTGATAGCTTGTGTGTGTGTGTGTGTGTGTGTGTTTTAGACAGAGTCTCCCTCGGTAGAGTGCTGTGGTGTCACAGCTCACAGCAACCTCAAACTCTTGGGCTTAAACAATTCTCTTGACTCAGCCTCCCAAGTAGCTGGACTACAGGCACCTGCCACAACACCTGGCTATTTTTGTTGTTGTTGTTGCAGTTTTCATTGTTGTTTAGCTGGCCTGGGCTGGGTTTGAACCCACCAGCCTTGGTGTATATGGCCAGCTGGTGTTGTAACCACTGTACTATGGGAGCTGAGGCTGCTGATTTTTTTTATCCAATGAGCCAGCCTGTGCCTCTTCAGTGGGGAATTCAGTCCATTGACATTTGTTGAGAGTATCAGTAAGTGTGGTGGAATTCTATTCATCTTGTTATGAGATAGTTTGTTGTGTAGTTTTATCCTTTGTGCCACTGTGGAACCTTAGCTCTGACCTTTGGCTTGTAGGTGTTTACTTTGGTGGTGGTCCATTGTGGTGTTCAGAATTGAAAATAGGTCTAAGTATTTCCTGTAGAGCTGGTCTTGTTGTGATGAATTTCCTCAGTGCTTCTATATCTGCAAAAGATTTGATTTCTCCATAATTTTGAGGCTACATTTAGCAGGATACAGGATTCTGGGCTGAAATTATTTTGTTTAAGGATGTTGGCGGTGGATGACCACACTCTTCTGGCTTGGAAAGTTTCAATTGAAAAGTCTGCTGTCATCCTAATGGCTCTGCCCTTGTAGGTCAATTGGTGCTTATTCCTAGCTGCTTGCAGAATTTTCTCCTTCATCTTGACTTTGGACACGTTCCTTACAATGTGTTTTAGAGAAGCTCTGTTAGAGTCGAGATGACCCAGGGTTCAATGTCCATCTGAACGGAATGTGTCAGGATCTTTAGTAAAACTTGGGAAGTTTTCATTTATGATAGTCTCCAGTAGGGCTTCCATACCTTTGGGACAATCTTCTTCTCCTTCAGGGATTTCTATTATCCATGTGTTTGAATGCTTCATGGCATCTCATAGTTCTCTAAGTACCTGCTCTGCTTTCTTTCTCTTCTTTTCTGATTCTGTAACTACCTGTGTTAACTCAAAGACTTTATCCTCTAATTCTGATGTTCTTTTTTCTATGTGGTCTAATCCATTTTTGATGCTTTCTACTGCTTCTTTACATTCCCTGATTGGCCCCTTCATTTCTTTAAGCTCATCTATATCTTTTCTATATTCTATATATCTCTCATTTGACTTTTGATTGTCTTTTGATTTTCTCATTCATTCCTGTTATTGTCTTAATCATCCATATTTTAAATTCCCTTTCTGTCACATCCATTAATTCTTTATAGGAAGAGTCTTCTGTAAAAGGTGCTTCATGGTCCCTTGGAGGAGTCGCTCTATTTTGGTTTTCATGGTCTCTGAATTTGTATTTTTGCTCCTCCTCATGTGTGCTTTCTTTTTGTTCACCTCTTTGCATACATTTTTCCTTCTCACTTCCTCGCATCAGAAGGTGGGAAAAGGGTTGGCTGGAGCAAGGAGAACAAAGAGGAAAGGAAAACAAGGAAGAAAATAAAAAGAAGGAACACATAAGAGAAAAGAAAATGAAATTAAATAAAAGAAGAAAGGGGGAGAGGGGATAACAGAAGAAAAATTGAAGAACAGGGGCAGTGCCTGTGGCTCAAAGGAGTAGGGCGCTGGCCCCATATGCTGGAGTTGGCAGGTTCAAACCCAGCCCTGGCCAAAAACTGGAAAAAAAAAATTGAAGGACAGGAGAGAAGGAGGACAGGAAGGAAGGATTAGAGTAATAGGAGTGATTTTATTGTTCAGAATGGTGCTAAAGCCATGCCTATAGCTCAAGGGTTTTGAGGATCTGGGCTGGGTGGGTTCCTCAAAATCAGGCACTCCTTGCCAGCCTTTACATAGCCAGACTCTTCCTCTGCCAAAATTAGGAAGAGAAGAAAAAGAGCAAACACCAAGAACAGGAAGGAAAAATTGAGTAAGAACAGGAAAAAAATGAAAGAAAAATAGAAAAGTTCTGCAGTGTGATCTTCCTAATACTTTCTTCCTAGGGCCAATGGTAGGAAGTTCTCCCAGCCTCCTTGAGCCAGACTACAGCTGTGGTCTACCTGACAGACTACAGCTGTGTCACACCCGCCCTCAGCAAAGAAAGGATGGAAGAAGAAGAAAAAAATACAAAATGGGAAAAAAAGAAAAAATGTTAAAATAAGAATAAAGGAAATTAAATGTACCATTGAATCAAATAAAGGAGAGGGCAGGAAAAGGAATAAAAAAAGAAAGAAGGAAGACAAAAAACCAAGAAGAAAGAAAAAAAAGAAAAAAGAGGAGGATATCTTCACTGATGCAGAAGCACATGAGAAGAAATGAGAAGAATAGAAGAGTCTCTATCAACAGAGAGAATGCCAAGGAGTGAAGTAGGGGGAGAATAAATCAAGCTAAAATTCTGCCAAAAAAAAAATACAGGAGCCCTTGCTCTTGTTGAATGTAAAAATGGAAGTTAGGAAAAGAACCACCTAAACAACTTAGCAAAAAATAAAACACACTGAAACAAGATTAAAAAAAAAAAAGCTCAAATAGCCTGATGTAAGCAATCTCAGTAACCAATAGAGGAAGGAAAGAAGAGAAAAAAATAAGAATGACAAATACAGGAAGGAGAAAAGAAGAAAAAAAAAAGAACAACAAAAAATATTTAAATATATGTAAAACCATACACACATATATATGACGTAGCGGTCCAACTTTAGTAGGAATATATTTATACTTCTTGGACACCAGGTGGCGCAGTGAATTTGTTGGCTGAACAACACAGCTGTTAACCTTTCTCTGGTTCCTGGGCTTAGACCTGTTTCCTATCTTAATTGTTCAGACCCTGCTGATTTGGGATTCCACAGATCTCAAAAATTCTTCAGAGGCAGGTCTTACAGATTCCTCCTACAACAGTTCCTGTGGCGTGCGGGAGTCCCTGGGCCTGTCTGCTTTCTGCAGAAGGAACTCAGACTGGGTGCCTTAGGCTCCCAACAAGAGGCCTGCCCTCACAGCCTTCTGGTGACCTTTACGACAATGGCGGCCCCCTGTCCGGGAACTTTCCCCAGTATGGATGTCTCACCCACTGCCAAACCACCACAGAATGGCTACAGACAGCACCCCAATCTGACTACCAAATTTGCTCAGGAGTACACAATTCTTCAATCTTTCCTCTCAGCGCCTAGCTTCCTCTAAGAACCCCAAACTGCAAAAGGCTTCTTCTGAGACCTCTGTGGGGGGCTGGCTGCCCTTGCAGCCAGGGCAGGCTTGCAGAAATTTGCCTGCGTCTCCAGTATGCTGAGTTTCCTCATCTCTGGCTTGCACTCCAAGTCCCTTAGTCCACCACCTTGCTGCACACCTCTAACTACACTGCATCACAACATTCCTCGCTGGGTACAATCCAGCCCTCTTCCTCTTCCCTGTTGCTACAGGAGAGCTCAGCTCAATGTCTTTCCCACCTGCCATTATGCTTCGCCCTGATGGTTTCTTTTATCACATAGAAATTCTTAATTTTCATGTATATTTTTCCTTTTTAAAAAAATCCTTTTGCTTGTGCTTTTGGGATTTTAAGAATTCCTACTCCTGTATTATCTTCTTTTAACTTTGTGGTTTTAACTTTCTCATCTAGGAAGAGACTCCACCCTGTATGCAGTGTAGACAAGGATCTGGGTCTTTTTGTCTCCATGTTGCTAATTGTCTGAACACCTTCCACCAAAGTATCCATTGCCAAAGGATGTGTGGATCCTTCTTTATCAGATGCTAAGTTTTTCCCTATTACATCCTGTCTGCAAGCTTTCTAATCTGCTTCCTAGGCCTGTTCTTTTATTCTTGTAGCAGTACCATGGGTATAAAATATTGTTTTATGTCACTTTTATTACTATGCCTTTGTTATAGGTCATAATATCTGGTGGATTGTATTTTCTTTCTTTGATCTAATTTTTAAATTTATTTAACTCTAGCCAAAGTTTATTTCTTATAATCAGAATAAGGATGTCAAATTTTAAAAAAAAAAATTCACCTAGATATATATTGGATTGTGTTGAATATATTGATTACTTTAGAAAAAACTGATACCTTTATGATATTAGGTCATTCTACTCTAAAGTGTGAAGTGGATTTTACTTACTTTATTAAACTTATAAGCCCTCTTGGAGATTTTCCTCCTGTTCTTCTTAGTTTATTTTATGGTTTTCAAAATTTTTTTTCTTTTTTTTGTAGACAAAAATCACCCTCAGTAGAGTGCTGTGATGGCACAGCTCACAGCAACCTCCAACTCCTGGGCTTAGGTGATTCTCTTGCTTCAGCCTCCCAAGTAACTGGGACTACAGGCACCTGCCACAATGCCCGGCTATATTTTTATTGCAGTTTGGTCAGGGCTGGGTTTGAACCCACCACCCTTGGTATATGGGGCCTGCGCCTTACTTACTGAGCCACAGGTGCCACCCTAAAATGTTTTAATGCTCATGCAAATGCATTAACACTTTTAACGATATTTTCTACTTGTGTTTGTTCAGAAATACTTCTAATAATACCAGGCCAAGTTTTCTTCTAGTATTTTTGTGACTTTGATTTTCTGATGTTTACATCCTTCATTCTTCTGGAATTAATTTTGTTATAGGACTGAGAATCAGACGGAGGTGCTGAGAGGGTCTTACCAGGGAGCATTAGGGCTGTTTGCTCCATGAATAACTATTGGGGTGTTTCCTTAGGGAGGATCTGGCACAGTTGCCCTTCCTGACCATGTGTATCAAAGAGAGTCTGCGGCTGCATCCTCCTGTCACTGTCATGTCTCGCTGCTGTACCCAGGATGTTGTGCTCCCAGATGGTCGAGTCATCCCCAAAGGTACCCACAGTGGCAGGGGGAGGAGGCTCCTGGGCAGGTTGGCAGTCCCTTCAGGCAGAGTGGACCTTGTTTTGACTGTCCCCTTCTCCCTACAGGAAACATCTGTATGGTCAGCATCTTTGGGATTCATCATAATCCGTCAGTCTGGTTGGATCCCAAGGTTCTTCCCCTGCCCCTTCTGCACCCTAGGACCTGGTGAAGGAAAGGGGTCCTGATTGGGGAAATAAGATACCCTCGTCTACTGTGCCCATATCTGTCTTTTCTAGGGGTGGCTGTGATTCCTGAGAGACCTTATCCAGCAACCCTGTCTTGCCTGTCCCCAGGTCTATGACCCTTTCCGCTTTGATCCAGAAAATCCCCAGAAGAGGTCACCATTGGCATTTATTCCTTTCTCGGCGGGGCCCAGGTGAGGCCAGTAGGGGTCTGAGGTGGGATGGATGGTCCAGGTAGTGTCCTTGTCTGAGACCTCCTGTGTCTGAAATTGTGGAGAAGCTCATTTCAGGGAGTCAGAGGCTTAAAGAAGAGCCAATGAAGGCTCAGAGCCTTCTCCCCTGTCTACTGTCTGAGTTGAGAGCTGGAGTCTGAGCTAGGCTCAGTGGATGTGCAAGCCCCCTTGGGAGTCCCAGTCACCACTCGCTCTGCAAGCTGATCAGGGTGAGGGTGAGGGTCCTGGTCAGATTCCAGGTGTGAGGGGGTCCTAGGTGCAGTCATGGTTCCCACCTCTTTCCCCAGGAACTGCATCGGACAGACCTTCGCCATGACCGAGATGAAGGTGGTCCTGGCGCTCACGCTGCTGCGCTTCCGTGTCCTGCCTGACAACACCGAGGCGCGCAGGAAGCCGGAGCTGATCCTGCGGGCTGAGGGAGGCCTTTGGCTGCGGGTGGAGCCGCTGAGCTCAGACCCTCAGTGACTTACTCCCTCTTGGACTTTGACCCAATCCACCGCTACCCCCTGTCTTTTTCATATTCTCAGGAATAAAACTGCTGTCCTCTGCCTGAGCCGCTCTTAGAGCCCGAGAACCAGTAGGGGGCGCTCAGGGACTGCAGGAGTTTGCGGGGTGAGGGGCTGATTGGAGGCGGGGTGGTGTTCCCGTTCCTTGAGAGCTTGACTACTTCTCTGGTTGACCGCAGAGCCCCCAGGCTGATGGCAGTTGGCCCAGGTATGGACTTTTCTTCTGTGGGCAAGAAGGAACCATGGGAGTTGTCTGAGCAGTAGAGGGACCAGGATTAAGGAGGGATTTAGGAGGCAGGTTTGAGGGTATGAGTCAGGGAGGCAAACCCATAAAGGCAGTCCACTTCTGCTACAGTGAACTAACTCATTTCTGATATGAAACACCCAGTCTTTTTTCTCCTGAAGTTTCTTCACTGTGTTTCTATGGTTACTAAAATACTCAGTTCATTAAACATAATAAGGCCAGTTGTTTTATGGTGTGTCTGATCATTGCAGTGTTTGTATCCACCGGATTTTCTTTTTCTTCTTTGCCGGTTTTCACTCATGGGGTCAGGGTTTTTGTGTGCCTGGTTGCCTTCATCTGGTTATATATTGGCTGTTGTATTTTGAGTAATATTTGTAGAATTTGATTTGTGTTAAATGAGTTCATGGCTTGTTGGGCACAAGGTCGCTAAGGGAGTTTAAATTTAAGCTGAAATCACACTCGCAGGTTCTTTCACTTTAGTTTACTCTTACCCTAAGAGATGTTACCTTTTGAGGGCTCCACTTATGTGACCAGGGACTTCTTCTAAATTCCCCTCCTCCTTGTATCACCCCTGGGCTTTGTTTGTTTGACATGGTTTTACGCTTTTGCCTGAGTTACAGTGCAGAGGCACCATCATAGCTCCGTGCAACCTCAAGCTTCTGGGATAAAGGGATCCTCTTGCCTCACCATATATTCCATTAGCTAGGACTATACAGGTGCACACCACCATACTTGGCTATTTTTCAATTTTTTTTTTTTAATAGAGACAGCATCTTGCTCTTGCTCAAGCTGGTCTTAAACTCCTGGTCTCAAGTGATGCTCCCACCTTAGGCTCTCAAAGTGCTGAGATTAAAGGAGTGAGCCATTGCACCCAGCTAACCCTTTGGCTTTGATTCCCACCCCCCTGCACCATGAAGCCATTAAAATAGTTTCACCTTTTCTTAATTTGAGAAATGCTGCTAGTGCAGTGGTTCTCAACCTTCCTAATGCCTCCTAATGCCACGACCCTTTAATACAGTTCCTCATGTTGTGGTGACCCCCAACCATAAAATTATTTTCATTGCTACTTCATAACTGTAATTTTGCTACTGTTATGAATTGTAATGTAAATATCTGATATGAAGGATGTATTTTCATTGTTACAAAAGGGTCATGACCCACAGGTTGAGAACCGCTGCCCTAATGTGAAAGTGTAATTTATATATATTTTAGGTTCCATTTTCATGTGATTTATGTTTTTATAATTTTTAATTTTGCTTTCATGTCATTTATTCATATAAGGACTTGGGAAAACATTCAGTTTTGAGAATTGTTTTTCCCCCTGAAGTTTAGTGACACAATCACAGCTCATTGTAGCCTTGAGCTACTGTGCTCAAGCAATTCTTCCACCTCAGCCTCTTGCTTTCCTGGGACTACCAGCATGTCTCGCTTGTTTTTAAAAAGGTGGAATTTTAGGATGGGTTGCAATGACCTAAAAGGAAGTGGAGGTTGTGTGGGTTTTCTTATTTATTTATTTATTTTTTGCAGTTTTTGGCCAGGGCTGGGTTTGAACCCACCACCCTCTGGCATATGGGGCCAGCGCCCTACTCCTTTGAGCCACAGGCGCCACCCATGTGAGTTTTCAATAGTGAAAGGAAGGCAGATGGGGTGGGTGTGGGGAGGAGTGTCCCTCCTTTCAGTACCAGGGACAGCAGCTGGTAGGGCCTCCCAAGTGTCTGTAGGTGGGGGGCTCTGGCCCATCCCAGAGTCCAATGACCGAGCCCCTTTTAGGAGCTCATGGAATGGGTTTGAACCAACCAGTCTGCACCTAGTGTTCTGGTTCTACCTACGATGCTCTCTGGCTTGTCACCAGTCACACAGATTGAGTCAGGCGTGGCACTAAGCACTTTCTTTTAAAAATATAATCTGTAACCTCTTGGGGGTGGGACACAATTACAAGAGGGACTTTATCTAACAAATGCAATCAGCGTAACCTAATTCTTTGTACCCTCAATGAGCCCAAACAATAAAAAAAAATGAATTTAAAAAGATTAAAACAAATGTAATTTATAAGGCTAGGCACCTGTAATCCTAACACTCTGGGAGGCCAAGTTGGGAGGATCACTTGAGTTCAGGACTTTGAGACCAGCCCGAGCAAAGTGAGACCTCATCTCTACTAAAAATAGAAAAATTAGCTGGGCCTGGTGGTACGTGTCTGTAGTCCTAGCTACTTGGAAGGCTGAGGCAGGAGGATCATTGGCACTGAGGTGTTTGAGATTGCTGTGAACTAGGCTGAGGCCGTGGCACTGTAGCCTGGGGCAGTAGAGTTGGACTCTGTCTTAAAAAATGTAATTATAATTATATAGATTAGCAGTTATAACTAAAAGTACCAAACAGCTTTTGCATTAAGAAAACAATTGGTTAGTATAGACATTTATTTAAAAAAATTCTACTTTCCACTCCTATCATTTCAACAGTTGATAGTAGTTTTTTTCTGTGTTCCTATACAAACATTAACACTCACATAACTGGTTTGTTGGGGCGTCCCATCCCTTTAGGGGAATATAGCAGTTGGATCCTGGCAAAGACCTCAAATGGGCTAAAAGGGAGAATTTAAGAAAGGGCTGCTTCCAATGATGTGGCAAGGTCCATGAGGGAGGGTGCAGCACCCTGCGGGTAGCGTCAGCTGAGAGCATTCACCACCCCAGGCTGGGGGGCCAAGGAACAGCTGTTCTTAAAACCCAGAGGCAAAATCTGCAGCTGATTGAGGAAGGCAGAGGACAGACATTAGTCTCCTGTTCCATCTCATCTCCTCCCGATGTACCCACTGATCAAACCACTGCTTACTAGCTGGCCGCTGTAGGTCAGTGCATAGCGTGCTGGCCCTGCATAGCGTGCCGGCCCTGCACGCCAGGAGTGGTGGGTTTTAGTCTCGCTTGGGCCTGATAAGCCAAAAACAACAACAATAAACCCCCACAGACCCCCACCTACTGATCTGAGTGGTGAGGCTGCAGCAGGTGTTCACAGACTCCCGTAGCAACTCGTTGCCCACAGTGGGTCAGCACTGGCTCCATGTGCCTCTGCAGAGGGGGCTTCACTCAGCACCTCTGCCCTGGGTGGTCTTGTCTGCTGGTCATTCAGACACCCAAATGAGGAACAAAATTCTATCTCTACCCCCTACCTCACAGGTTCTTCTGTTCCTTTTTTTTTTTTGAAATTTGACAATTTTTTTTGCAAGAACTACCAAAGTTTCAGTGTTTAATAATTAACAGCACAACTGACCAAGGTCCAAGATATGAAGATACCATGCTCAAGCAACTTGGGGGTAGAACGCTCTAAAAACTAACCATATAGTATGTGATAAGAACGCACATTTTATAATATAAAACCTGTCTACACATAGTAGTTAGCTGCAAAAAGCCATTCAGTCTTCTCTTGGCTTGGAAAAAAGGTGTTCCAGATTTCAGTGTAAATTTGCAACCTTCAACTCTTGTGTGGCAGGTATCTTGCTTTCACCTTCCAGTTCTTCCACTCCAGCCTGTGTCATGAGGTCTGTGATGGTTTTTTCCAGATCATCAATGCAACTACTCATATCATCAATTCTTCCAATAATCTGGTCAGACACGGTCTGAAATATATCTTGCATCTGCTGCAGGAGGGTCTGCACCACTGTGGCCAGATTCTGCACCGTCTTGGGGGTCAGTCATGGCCATCTCCCTGGTTCCCAACTTGGCAGCGATGTCTTGGACCATCACCTACACTTCTGTTTGTCCACGCAGACCTCTTGGGTTCCTTTTATTTATTTATTTGCAGTTTTTGGCTGGGGCTAGGTTTGAACCACTACCTCTGGCATATGGGGCCAGCGCCCTACTCCTCTGAGCCACAGGCGCCGCCCCTCTGTTCCTTTTTTAAAGAAAATTGAGACAACGCTTCCTATGTTGCCCCAGTTGGACTCAAATTCCTGGGCTCAAAGAGTTTTCTGGCCTCGGCCTCCAAAGCTGCTAGGACTCCAGGAATGTGCCACTATGCCTGGCTTCTTCTCCTTTGAGTGATGTGCTTGGGGTCTCTTCCCTGGAGTTTGGATGAGAAACACCCTTTCCCACTCCATAGGAATGGTCTCTGTGGAACCCACTTTTTATCCTCCCCTTCTGGGGCTGGGGGTGGTTAAGTGGGGGTGAGGGGCCAACCACTCAGAACTGACACCAGCCAGTAGATCCCACCCGGGGAGTTTCTTATCAACTATTGTGGACACGCTGGACTGTTCCAAAGCTTACCTTAGGTCCTTATGAGTACCTTAGCTCATGATTCCCTAGGACCTCTGCCAAGATGTTGGCATATCCAAACAGCTGATCTGGCCCTGAACCTGCCTTCAAGAGCTGGTTACGTTCCTCATCTCTATTGTGGTGAGTGGAATGCCGCAACTGCGTCTGGCTTGAATATTGGACCAGATTTCCCTACCACTGTGGGTCCTCAGTGTGGCTGGTTCCTGCCCCTGTGCCTCCCTCCCCGAATCCTGAGTGCAATAGCCTCAGATCTTAGAAGGCAGGAAGGCAGGAAGAACGAACATACTTTTTTTTTTAGAGACAGGGTCTCACTTTGTTGCCATGGGTAGAGTGCTGTAGCGTCATAGCTCACAGCAACCTCCAGCTCACCTCCCAAGTAGCTGGGACTACAAGCACCTGCCACAACGCCCAGCTATTTTTTTGTTGCAGTTTGGCTGGGGCCGGATTTGAACCCATCACCCTCGGTATATGGGGCAGGTGCCCTACTCACTGAGCCACAGGCACCACCCGAATGAACATACTTTTTTTGTGTGTGTGTGCAGGGCTGGGTTTGAACCTGCCACCTCTGGCATATGGGGCCAGCACCCTACCCTTTTGAGCCACAGGCGCCGCCTGAATGAACATACTTTTTATGTCATCTGGTTGCTCCAAGAACTGCTGGGTCTTTATGCTTTGGATATGGGCCCAGAGAGGGGGAGTCCTTATACATGACCCAGTCTTTCATGTCACTTTTCTGCTCAAGGGTCACCTCTTGGGGAGTCCCTCTCTGGTCACAGTGTTCAGAGCAATCTCCTCAATCACGTTCTAGCTTGTCTCACTCTGGTCATTTCTTTCATAACCATCACAATGTGACTTGGTCATATTGCCTGAGAGTTCCCCCCATCTGACATGAGCATCACAATGCCAGACACCTCGTACATTTTGTCATCCTCTGTCCCCGGCCTTACTACTAT